GTGGAGTGGATTGCAACTCTGGTTATAGTAGAAACTTCTAAGTTTGTAGTAGTTACTTTAATGGCTTATTTTAAATTCTAACATATTTCACTTATACTACAACTTGGAGATTATCCTTAACAAAGTACGCGCTTGTAAGTAGGAGACTAGTCAAATATAAATATCTGTCTAATCTCCTTGTACTATTCTTCAACGTCTTTCTGTAACTTCTACTCGTCCATCTTACAATACCTTACAGATCTCAAACTATCTAATTAACCAAAATGCTCTTCGCAAACTTGCTCGTCCTTGCAACTGCCGCTCTGGGCGCCGTCATTAAATACGACGGCGCTGAATACGACGACGGTCAATACGACGATCAATTCCTCATCGGGCCGCCAGTAGGTCGTCTTACCCCTATACAAAATAACCTTGGTCTCACATAATGCAGGCTGAGCTCTCTCATGAAGAGAATTGCCATCAGCCAGACATCAGGGTTTGGCGAAACGAGGAGTGTGTCCAGCTCTCTCCTAGTGCGCCGCCTCCTTTGTAAGCATGGAGATCCTCGTTGCCCCTTTTTATTCTATTTTACTAAGACGGTGAATACAGCCCTTACAAGTCGATTCGAGTCAACTCACGAAAGTGCACGCTGTATCAGTAGGTCCCTTGCTTCGCGCTCGGTATTTGTGCAACGAAGACTAACATGGCATAGGGATAACAAGTGCCAGACTCGGATTGGCCGCGTCCGGCATACCCCATGCCAAAATATTCCACCTTTTGTCAGATTCAGCTCTATCAGGTGCTCAAACAGAGATTAATTGAAATGCAGAGGATGATGGGATGTAATTCTCGCAGGGAAGCCAAGGGAGTGGCCGATTTCCTGAGACGCTTTGGTACAGGTTTTTCTCCCCTACAAGTACATATCCTTGGGGTTTTCCCTGTACTGTCATGCAAATGCAGAGGCTTGGTTTTTGAGTCAGGGTATGTATCTCTTGACTTGTGATAATGTCACATACATCATGTCATGCGCTTGAGAAGTGAAAGTGAATCTGTGTGATTTCTACGTGTAATCCCTCTGTCCCGCTGAACTCATCTCCCAACCCCTAGGACTTGAACGTCAGGGCAACCTGAGCCAGTTCTCTCTTTGCCGAAGGCGCAGTGTGAGGGAGGACGTGTATTAGTGTCAATGTGAATTAACACGCAGCCTTCCGCGGCTACAGGGGATGAGAGCGGATGTCCCTTTGAGGCGTGTAAGCGACATGAAGTAGTGTCACCAGTAGGCTTACTACTACAAAGAATATTTTTACAAAGAATATTCACGAGCGTGTTTACTCTGCTTAAATAGTACAATCTTTTAACATTTTTTATAGCACTTTATGTTCCTTTAGACTAGCTAAAAGAAGACATGAACAAAGTTTACTCTTAAGGTAAAACGAGCATCTCGTAGACAAAGCAGTACATGGTCATTTCTTAAGGACAAGATCAAGCCACTATTATCCATGTTACGCCAATATAACCCCCTTTCCCCCTAGTTTTGAGATATAAAGACAATACGACTCCTCGCCTATCCATCCAGTATTATTTAAAGTCTCCCCCACAGGCTTGTCTCTCTGACTCGAGCTAGCTATGTCCTAAAGTGGGGCCGTTCCCTTGCACGATATTGTTCAGTCACAACATTACTTGTCACCGGCAAGTGGCAGCAGGCAATCAAAATACTGCTGCCTGGGACAAGGCAAGGGTCTGCGGCTGCAGGCGCAACCAACCAGAGACACAGAGGCTACACCCCAAGATGGCAGCAGACTAGTGAAGGAGGTGTTGTCAATATGGACATTGGCCCGGGCTTCCTGTGAGCATTTGCTTTGGTAGAGAATTTGCCAACTGATCAGCTTGAGCAATGTTTAAAGAACAGATCTACAAGGTCTTCCAATTTTCGCCCCCAAAAGTCCAAGCTGATTTGCTTGCAGCAACCGCGTCCATGGATGATCTCGACGTCATCTCCAAGCTCATGCCCTACCCTATACGTAGCCTCGTACAGAAAGATGAGCTCGCTTTTGTGATTCCCGTTTCAGTGGAGAGGGAGGAGTTCAAGTTCTACATTTTGAATGATCTACATAAGATGATTGATAATATGAAGGCTGTGGTTTTCTGCAATTCTCCTCGCATAGGCGACTTGCTTACTGAGAAGACAAATATCTGGAGTGTAGAGTTTCTCACGTGCTCGGTGCATGGCGCCGACTTGGCAAAACACAATCACGGCAGAAATACATTTAAATACTTTTCATCTTTCACTGCGTACTTACTACACCATCAACGGGCTCCAGTAATTAACCGTTACCTCCCCACCAACCGTGGCAACTATTCTATGATATCGATTGTGGCGGTCGCAGCGGTGCCGCCATCAACCTCGTTACTAGTGACGATGCGCTGCGTCACATATGTACTTTTCGGATATGTTTCTGGATATAACTGCCAGCGACTACTCGTGAGAGCTTGGTGCGCCAGCCTTGAGATGAACATTGAACCGATTGACCAAGCCCGGGGGCGGGGGGGGGGGGGGGGGGGCATTGAATAGAAACTCACAGTGGGGAAGTTACGAGTAAGCCTTTGGCTATTAAGGGGGAGGCGTAGCCGTGTGAGCTGGGAGGCGCAGAGATCAGACCGAGTAAGTAGCCAGCCTGCTTGGCAACTACATAGTCGACACGAGTCAAAACAAGAATGGTGGAGGCGAAATAGTGGACAACATGGCTGAAGGAGAGGCAGCCCATTCGCCTAAAGGTCGCATGTCGTTGATGACAGGTCGATGAAAAAAATTACACAAGAGTCGCCAACTGCTGCCCCAAGGGCCTCGTCATGTGGCATGTTTCGGCATCTGGAAAACCTAGCCCACGGCCCGCAATGCTGGGTTATGGCGTCGATACCATGTGGACATGTTGGCTGGCACTGCCCACATCGATCCACCAGACTCGAAATATGATGCCAACTGACGACGCTGCGAGCAAGCGAGCCCCGTGGAGGCTCATAGTTCCTATTGCAATATAGGCTGATAAATGATGGATCCGCAACGTATGAACTCGGGCATTTTGAGCGGTCGACCTTGGCAAATGTCACGACTTCACTGGCATTGCCAAAGCTAGCTGACGTTGGCCATTACGTATGTATGTATTTATGTAGGGGTGTAAGTGGACGCGATGACGGGTTTCCGAAGCATCTGCGGACTCTGCCAATCGAAACAAAGGCTGTTGAGTAGGTGAGATGATTAGCATTACAAGTATGACTCTAAAAGCGGTTGTGCCTGTGGGCTTTATTCAATTAGATTTATGCCCACCCCAAGCCCGAGTTCATGTCTCAGTACATATGCTGACTTGAAACAACTGCCAGCATGTGGAATGAAGCCGTCAGCAGGGCCTCTCGCCCATACCTAGAAGGCGTACCATGTTCCTTCTGTAGCGTTTCTTTGAGAGTATCCAAAAAGCCCGTAAAGTTCGTAAAGTTGTGTAGCCTATCGTCTTCGTTTCTGACCACAGCGTCGTAATCGGCCGGGTAGGGTCGCACGCACGCACGATCGGGAATGGAGAAAGGAAGCAGATCGGTCGCAAGGGTTCACAGATGGCGCCTGAACCACGGGGTAGCAGCACTTGAGGTTACTTTTGGCAAATCCCCATGCTTTATGTACACATGTAATGTAAAGCTAAACTACACCGCTTACTCAAGTTGCTTTTATCTACTATACACTTTGAACTTTTCTTGTCCTGCTTTAGTAGGCCCATCCAGCACTCCTTCAGCCAACGCCACGCAAGGCACAAAAAAAGAAACAAGCTCAAGGCTCCCCCCAAACACCAACTCACTCTCCATTTAATCCCCTAGCCATCTTGTGACGATAGCCGCCGCAAGAAGCTTCATTTACGCCTTGTAACCAGCGTAGTGGGGATAGGTAGGCCAGCCCCAAGGCACAGCCTTCTGCATCAGCTGGTGATCCAAGCCCTCGGTGCCATTGTTCATGTACATGAACTTGGTATAAGGGACGTCGGCATGGTAGGAGAATTTTGTTCCGGCAGGGATGAACGCGACGTCGCCGTGGAGCAAGGCAACGGACTCGTATCCGTCCACGGCAAGAATAAGATGGCCGTCTTCCATCTGCAGGGCAAAGTGGTGCGGCAGAGTGGTCGTGGTTACCGTCTCGTTATCAAGCTTGGGGGACAGAATAACAGTGCCCATGGTGAAGTCCTTTTCGGTATTCTTGTCGGCAAACGGCTGGACAATCTTGTATCCGTTCTCCGCGTTGAGGAACTTGGGGCCGTAGTCCTTGGCGATGGCATAGGGCTCGCCGTACTTGCTCGGCAGCTCGTTGGGGCCGTTGTGCCAGTTGAGGCGGCTGTCGCCGGCGGTGCCGTTGACAAAGTCGCGTCGCGGCACAAAGTTGTCGTGCAGGTACAGGTCCAGCGAGTTGAGGCTGGCGATGGCCTCGGGCGAGAGCGTGCCCGCAAACGGTGACTCGTCAAAGGCGGTGGCGAGATAGGGCGCCGAGACGCTCGAGTTGTACTTGCCCTCGCCGTAGAAGACGTCAAACAGGTGCTCGAAGCCCGCGGGATGGAAGACGTGGGTTAGCTGCGCATCGGGATCGACGAGCTGGAACGTGTGGATGGTGCCCGTCGGCAGACTGGCGTAGTCGCCCGGGGTGGCTTGTCGCGCCTCTTGCTCCCCCTCGGATGTGTTCTTCTGGGCCCAGAACTGGACGCGTCCCCTGGCGCAGTAGAGATGTTCGTGGACGTTGTGGTGGTCGTGGTAACGCGCCGAGACGTTGTTGTTGAACTGGCCGTTGTGCTGGATCATGGAGAAGGCGCCGCCGCTTGAGTTGGTGGTGATGGCGAAGCGCAACACCTCGGCCTGTGAGAGCATGATGGAGCGTCCCCTGTATTTGGGGAGCACGTAGGGGCGCACAAAGTCGGGGGCCTGGCTCACGACCATGTTCTGAGGCGAGGCGGCTGCTCCTCCTGATCCCGGTGCGCAGGCGCCTTCAATGGTGGCGGCGGCCAGCGCGAAAACGAGAGCCTGTGTAAATCCCATGGTGGCGAACGAGGTAAGTAGTCAATGGCAGAAAGGAGTGGACGGCAAAGGATGGATGGCCTGTGACGATTCCCAGCCAGAGCCGCGGGATTCCCGGGCAATATATACAATAGATTGGTGTCGTGATGGCATCAAGACCAATACCCACAGATCGGACATCCCATCCCATCCCGGCCGAGAAGCACCAGGCGCTTCCGCTTCGCGTAGGCCACGGTCCCCGTTGATTGGAGACGCTCTCAATAACAGGCGATAGACGCCGCATGAAGCATAATTCCCCAGCGGTTCCATCTGGTCTAGCCAGGGTCCTGCTCTTAGGCATTGTCAATGCAACCCACACGCGCGTCACTGCAATTTCTACCTGCCAAGACGGGTAGCATGTTGTACATGAATCGCTTGCGTCTCCCTGCAAGCTGTGAGGAGGACCTTGGCTCGTATGATGGCCGACCAAGCGGCTTGTTCACGACCTGGCCCGTGTCTGCTGCTTCACCCACGGCGACTGGGACGGGGCCGTCTTGTGCTGGGATCAATTGATCCATTGAGGAGGCTGTTGAGCTTGACGTCTGGTGCTTTGTCGGGCGGCCTGCTTGACTTGATACTTGACTCCATGTCATGACTAGCCAGTGGGCTCAGAGCCTGTCCAACTTGGCCCCGTTCCCGCCTGCTTAGAAATGCGTTTTGACTCGGAAGCTGGTGAATGAAGGGGGGCTATCGAACTGAGAATGTCAGCATTGAATTGGAAGCGGGCGACAAGGTGTGAACAGGCACGGCTCCGACTGGCTTTTGTGCGAAGTGGTTGAGGATATCGTCACCTGTCATATCGCGCTAGCCGCGAGGACAGAGCTTTGTTGAGAGGAATCGTATCCTGTTTTTCATGCTATTTACTCCTAGTGACTAAAGGCCACGAGAGAAATGGCCCTTTGTTATTGTTCCAAGTGATTGCGACTGAAACGTCTATCCCTTCTAGAAGCTGAATCTACAAGGAACCCTTGGGTCGTCGGAAATTACGAACATCTGGGGCCTTGCCTCTTAAAAAACTACCGAATTAGAATGGTTCAATATGACGGTTCAAGCTTCGACCAGCGTCCATAAGATGGTGAGACAATGCAAAATACTACCCCGACTATACTCCGAAGGGAAATAGCTCGGGTTCCTCTGTTGCTCATCGTCTTGGATCATGTACTGCTTGTTGGCACAGATGCAAGGCATCCCGTGTCCCCATTTTTCTTGATAAATGCAATCAGAAGGCCAGCTTAGTCCAATAACCCTGTAGGACTTTAGCCGGTCCCTCGACTCATGGCAAATGATGGCGTTGTTTCATCTGAAGTTGGCGTGAAAGATGTGTTCTGCTTACCAAGAATCTTTTCTGGTCGAGGTGAAAAGAAAAAAGAACCTGAGATATTCCGTAATCGATTCTTGACTATAATAAATTGTAAAGGAAAGACCCGAGTGGCGTGACAACCAATGTGCTCCTAGGCCGATCAGTGTCGACCCAGCTCACCCATCACAATCTCCTACCTCATTCAAATAGGCATAAAAGCCCCAAGACATGCGTCAGCTACCTTGGTCGATAAGAAGACATCCCTAGGACATAATGACTTATACGGCTCTAACAGAAAACAAAGGCCATCGCTTACAACTCGGAGACTAGGAGAGATGTTTTGTGCCACGTTTAGACTGTTGAAAGAATCCCCAAGTTTATTCACTCTACAGAAGAGTCACAAAAAGAAGGCAGTCCAACTTCACGGCAATTAGGACCCTGTATGTTCCATTGAAAAGCTTCTCGGTACTCCGCTAAGGTAATATAGACGATTTATTATGACGTACAACGTTTCTCTGTTAGATTGTTGTTAGTTGGAGGACCGGCTCATCATATCTTTGCATTATTTGAACCATGCCACTATTCATGTGCTCCTCCACATCAAAATGTCAACTGGTTCGCTTCACAACGCATCTACACGGGCACAACAACCTACGAGGCACGCGCCATCTTGCCTACTTGCATTTTTCCCTGTACACATGGACACATTCCCTGTCCTCGCCACAGCTGCTGCGTGTGTCGTTTCGCAAGACACTTGCTCTGTCCTAAAAAAGAGACATACTTGACTTTTCCTTGTTCACCTCTCTCAGGTCTGGTCGCTAGGACCGAATATAAGTGATATTAAAGCTTTCCCGACGACAAAATTACCCTGCGATAAGCAGAGCCTTCTGTCCGAGATAATAACGAAGTATAGCAAAATCACGCCGTGGCCCAACTATTGTGGATCGTCAAATCATTTTGCACAAGCATAAAATGACACAGATGTAATCGTTGAATACCATATTGTCTGTATACATGTTTCGAGGTATACTAGGTCAATCACCACGTCCACGGCTACACGACCGGCATCTCATCCCGTCTCTTCATCAAGAGCTTCGTGTAGATATTCATAAACGGAAACTCATGAATATGCCCATTTGTCGGCCTCGCCTTCCCATCGGGATACTTGATGTCATAGCGCAGCAAAAGCGTAGCAACAATCATCTTCATCATGTCGGAAGCCATGAAACGCCCCGGACAAGCCCATTTGCCATAACCAAAATGCAAGTGAATCTTGTCCGTGGTAGCGTACTGGTGCTTGTTTTCCTGGCCGGGGTCCCGGCGGCGCTGCTCGTAGTAGCGAAGCCCGTTGAACGATTGGGCGTCCTCCAGCACCGTCGGATCGCTGGAGATGGAGTGCGGCGGGATGCAGAGCTGCGTGCCGTACGGGACGTGGGTGCCGTCTTGGAGAGTGATGCCGGCGGGCGCTTTGACGACGCGAAGAAATCCCACTAGTGGCAGGCTGTGTTAGCATTCGAGTCGTGGTGGTCATACAGGGCTTGGAAAGACATACACAGTGAAAGGGGGTTATGCCGCTGAGATCTACAATATCATCTGTTAGCTTCTAGCATGGGTTTAAAAGGCGCCGTAATGGCAGGTAGGGGGACTGCTGACTCTCGCATGAAGCTGTCCATTTTGCGTAAACCCGACAAGGACTGCTTTGTGAAACGCATCTCAGTCTTTTGCAGCGTCGTTTGAGCCTCTTCACGTAGCAAGTCGATGTACTCGGGGCGAGAGACGAGGTCAAAAATCACATGGGATCCAGATGCCGCCGTGCTGTGGCCGGCGATGGCAGTCATGGTGATCATCAGTTCCGCCAGAGTATCGGGTTGGCCCTCTTCGTCGTCGGGATTCGTCATTTCTACCATGGATTGCAGCAAGTCGTTGGGTTTCATATAGTCGACACCGCTGGTTTCGAGGTCTCGCCGACGTTCGACCTCGGGTATGAGCACCTTTTTTCCTGCGCGGAGATGGGCCTTGTATTTCCAAGAAAATGGGAGGCAAAGGTCCAGAAGCGGTCGCATAAAGCAAGGAACGGACCTCATGGCGATTTGTGTTATCGTTACTGTCCACCGAACCGGGTCAGCACAGCGCATTTGCCGCTTGGTTATATAGAAACCTTACCATTGTCAGCGTGTCCAAACGCGGCTTTGAGCCATTCCGGGTCTCGACATAGCGGCAATCCCACAAAGGTTCGGTGTACTATGCGCTCGACTACCCTCAGAATGAACGGTTGAATCGACACCGAGGTCCAGTCTATGCGAAATATGACCGGCGCGTCAGTTTATATAGTTTTCGAATCAGAAGCGTGGGAGAAAGTACCGTGACAGGGAGGCAGATCAGTGCGTAGGGAATACTCTAGCTCATCCACCATGTCGTCGCATAGCTTGGCAAGATTGGGCGTGATTTTCATCTATCAAATGCTTAGCACGGGTCCAATTGGAACATTGAAGTCATCAGGGCAAGCGTGTACCTGAAACGCGCGGATGCCGACGTCGTGTTTTCCCAGCAATCCGAGGCCACTATAGCGGCCGCCAAAATTCTAATGCAGTGAGTGGTGAGATGGCGTCGATATACATTGGAAAGGCATAGTTTGCGTGGCTTCCTTCATACCTCTATTAGGCCATGGATGGCACTTAGCTCCTGGGGTGGTCTGTTGTGAAGGTCGTCTAAATAGTTTCTGGATAGGATAAGCACATCCCCGTCATACCGTGAAATCTGGAATAGGGAGTCTTTCCACTGTTGAAAATCGTTAGAAACTTGACGCGTCCGGGAACAAGCACCAATGGGTAGTCCGCAGACCTTCTTGTAACCTTCACTTATCATTGACGAAGCGCTGAAGGTATATCGTATCTGAGCTAAGAAACGCGGCTCCCATGATGAGCGGTACCCTACAAATGGCACGTCGATGCCGGTAGAAGGTTTCCAGTACAATGAAGCGCATATTACCAGGACAAGAATGGCAAGTATTACTTGTGTCGCAGGCACATTGTAAACTGACGAGTGGAAAAACGTGGACAGAGCATTGCGCGAAAGAGATTGGGTCGAGTTGCCGTAATGCATATTTAAACGGGTAGAATGGAGAAATCGGGGAAAGGGGATCGGTTGACGGCGTCCGTACCACTCTGTCAAGGGAACATAGCAGGCTTTAAGAGGATTGATATAGTCCAGCAGGTGTGGATTCAGACGGAGATGGCCATTTCCTACCGTGTCATCAGCGGCAACATCGGATTCGAGGTGGATCTTGTGCTGCGGCTAGATGCTGTGTTACACTGTCCAAGTTGGTGCTGTTGACGCAACATACCCCTATCTGCGTATACATCCAATTGAGATATTTAACAAAGTACAAACGGGCTAGATTTGTAAAAGTACAGTACTTTGGTCTCAGCTTACATCGACCCTATCCGAGGCCAAAGATATATACCTGGTACTTTGCATCTGACAGCAAAATATTGGCCAGCGTTACAGAGAGACTTATGAAAGGCTGAACCAACTTTCCAACTCTTCATCCATCAACTTTTCAATTGTAAATTTCAATGAAAACGAGGCCAAGATATTCGACCAGGATTCCTCGTGGCGACTTCTTTTTTGCGGTCTATATTGTATCTCATCCAATAGCAAAATACGCCCTTTATCAAAATGTCACGCCCACCGCATACTCTATTACTCTACAGGAGAAGATATGTTGCAAGCGAAAGTGCAAGCACATATACGGAATAATGTATCCCCATCTTGGGCCGCAAGCCCGTCAGAATCCGCAAAACAGACTCCCAGGACGCTTCCCACGCACCCCCGAGCGACCTGGTGGGCGCATCGATAAACTCCAGCTTCACAGCGTTATTTATAGAAAGCCCAGACAGACCAGCCGGCGCGTCATTCAAAAATGGAATGACATATCGGCCGAGAAGCCTTCTCCCAATGCCCTGATTCGCGTGCATACGCACCAGAAACTCGGATTGCGCACAAATGCTATTCGTACGAGGCTTCTGAGCCGCCGTGAATTCCCGAAGCATGCAGTCGACTTCGCTGGCTGAGAGTTTGCCCAACGGCAGGCGTTTGTGAATGAGATTCGCGAGCCTGGCGGCATCTTCTATGGCCATGTTGGCGCCCTGCCCTATATTGGGGCACATCTGCACCACGTTAGTCTTGAGTCTTGTATTTTCGGCAATCGTTCTGATTTTGCACATGTTCAACAAGGCGCAGATTAACCCTGGGGCATACATACCTTGCGGACGGCGTCGCCAATACACAACATGCGGCCATGATTCCACTGCTTGAAAACGCCTTCCTCCAACGGCGTCATCTTGTATATGGTGCATCGGGACCATACGTCGCCGAAGGTGAGGACATTGGATAATTTCTTGGAGCGCATGCCGTCGCAGATTTGTCTTGCCGCGTGGTCTGAGCAGGCGCCCTTTCCGGCGTACCCGGCTTGCGGTGTCTTGACCATGGCAAACCAGAAGAACTTGGATTGCTTGCCGGTAAAGACGTGGATGGAAACGCCGTCGTCCAAACGGCTAAGCTGCTCTCCGAGTTTCATGTGAGGCACGTCGCGGGAAAGTCCGTAGATGCAGGAATACTCGTATTTGATGCCTGTGCTTCCCGCCTTAGCCATACGTGATTTTGACGGCTTGTGAATGTGTTATACCTGAATTTTCCCTCTCCGTTGGGCGTGTTTGACATGTTTGCTTCAAATGTCTCCATATTTCGGAACGAACGACGCTGTGTACACCGTCGGCGCCGACAACAAGATCTGCTCTATACTCACTACCGTCGGAAGTCTTGACTACAGCGCAGTCTATGCCGCTTTCCACAGCGAGGACCTTTTTTCCTGTATGGATGTGGTTCTTTGATTCGAGCGTGTCGTATAATATTTGAAGGAACCTTTGCCTCTCCAAGAAAGACACAGGATAATGGTAACTGTTGGTGAAACTAGTCAGCAACTGATGCGATTTACACGCGTCCAGGACTTGGTGATGCTTACTTGGAGTGCAAGGCCTTGGGATATCGGCTTTCAAACCAGAAGTCATCCGGGTAGCGAATCCTAGCAAGCTCCAAGGGCTCGATTTCCTTCTCAATATTGTCAAAAATACCAAGCTGGTCGAGAATGCGACCCCCGTTGGGCAGAATGCCAATCGAGGCTCCCAGCTGGGGCGCGATTTCACCCTGCTCAAGAATGGTAAACGAGACACCAAGGCGTTGGAGGCAGTGGGCGAGCGCCAACCCAGCCACAGACCCCCCGACGATAATGACGTTGAAGTCGTTTGGCATGGTGACAGTGGTTTGCTGTGAGGTGCGACAGCTTCTACCAAGAAGATGGAATGAGATGGGCTCTGCTTGAGTGCGAGTCCCGACGTCTTCTCTGACTTGGGCAGCCAAACCCGCAGCGCATCAAGAATATAGAAGAGTTGCTAGCGCTATCCAATGCAACGTTGACAGCAGTAAAAATGTCGTTGCTTGGACCCTTGTTCTCCTGAACTTGACTGCACGATGCGACACGGCTTCGGAGGTGTGCGCCTAGTAACCAGCAGTTCAGGCATTTGTCGCAGCATGGGATGATTGTGCGTTGCAATTGTCAAGATATGATTTGGCATGACCACATTATGATGCAATCCGGCCGCGATATCCGAGCCTTCATGTGAAATCTGACAGACGACATCCGCCTCAGCTGCGCATGGCTTTGCGCGCACGCCGGCGCCAACCGTCGACGGCACGAGTTTGCGGAAAACGTGCAACCCAGGGTCCCGGTGGCATTTGATGCTACATTGGGCAAACGCGTCAAGGTGATATGTGACCAGGCTTAGATATACGCATAAAAGGCGAGCTGCAGACGGCACTTGCCGTCAAACCAGTCCGCATACCTCGGAACACCAAGCGGTCCCATTTCGTTGATAAAGCTGCATACGCACTTGACCTATGTGCCGCGCATGCAGGTCGTCAAAAACCCGCCGGCGCATCGCGGCTCGCGTTTCCCAAAGGAGACGAATGGCAAGCACGCAACGCGGAATAGATCGACCGGCATGCCCATTTCAGCCGCCGTCTGCAGGCCCCTCGTTACGCAAACTACCCGGCCGGATACAAAAAAAGACGGACAGACCATCATCAGGCTCATGATTCATAACGCTAATACGGAGTACGCCTTCAGCAAGCCCGTCGAGTCCCTGCATTAATGCCGATCCGGAACCAAGCGCCGCCTGTCCCCTTTGTCGACACGATGGCGTCGCCCATCTGGCTGTTTAGCCTCCTGCAAGTATTTCTGGGACTTGCCGGAATGACATGGAAGTTGAGTGAAGGCTATCCAATCATGCATGTCCATGCAGCCCTGGACGCTTCCTCATGGCTCGAGATGTGCACCGGCACGTCGGCAGCCTCGTTCCAGTCCAACTGGCCCTGGTTTATGCTTCATCTGGTCCTCTACGCCGGCCAACTAGCAGGGTTCGTCTTGATCGTCCTGCACGAGACGGTGCCGCACACGGGGCCGGTCCGCGGCTTCGGGTATGTACACCGCAGAGCCATCAGTTTCCTCCCACCAGCGCCGGCAAATGCTAACCACGATGCGCGCCGCAGCCTCGTTGCCGCAATGGCCTGCATCTCCTGCTGCTTCGGCTTCTCGACAGCCATGCCCATCGTGTCCCTCTGGATCCATGTCCTGCACCGCCGCCCGGCCCAGAGCGTGGCCGCAGGACAAGCGCGGAAATTGGCCCTGCGAACCGCCTTCTGGCTCACGGGCGTCACACACGTCGGTGCCTTCCTGGTGGCCTTTGCAGCAACCGCCGTGTCTCGGGACCGGGGGCCGTTCCATCTCATGAACAGTCTGCTCGGGGTGCCCGACTGCTCAGTGTCGCAGCTCGCGTGCGCGCCGGCGGCGCAGGGACAGGCCCGAGTGCGGCAGATGAATGAAATGACGGGCACGTCGAGCGGGTTCTTCCTGGCCATGGGGCTCTTTTGCCAAGCGCTCGCGGCGGCCGGGAGGCGCATGGGCTGGAGGCTGCTGGCGAGGATGTTTCTTGTCAGTTTGGTCGTGGGCCCGGCCGCGGGCGCTGCCGACGCGCTGGTGCTGAGGGATGCGTTGATCGGGCTCGGAGACGGCACGAGGGACCACAGGGAGACGAGGAAATCCGAGTAGCTACATGTGTCAAGTATGTACATGTAGCTCAATAATTGAAGCCAACTCCACTCCGTAGCTCGAAGGCGATCCATCCTTCCCGAGATCGTCCCGCTTTTTGATCGCTGCGTAGGCGTGTTGCTATTATGGGCATGTGAGGCAGACACGAGCTGGTTGTTTCCTCTGAAGCTGAATCGAGAAATTGGCGGGACTTGTTCAACTGGTTTCGTAAACCGGCTGTTGTTACGCTCGTCGTTGTCAGCCAACCAACCATCAACATGCAACGCGTCAAGTACGCTCGTGATATACCCGTTTTGGGACGCAACCATGAACAAGCGGGGTGACACTTGGCTGCTGGAGAGCAAATTGGCCATCGTGTCAAACCGTCACTGTAATGGCTACCCATAGTTGTCATGGAAATAGGCTCGTTGTAGTTGTCAAGATGCGCAACAATCGAGTGTCAAGCGAGTCTGGTCAAATTCACGTCTACCTGCCTGCTGGGCTCACACCGTCCCATGAAAAGACTACCTGGTATTTACAAATTCACGCCGTCTGGCTCATCTGTTCCCGTCGTCCCCAAACCGCCACCAACTTGTCCAGCCCCTTGCCAGCATCCTGAAGCGCCTCCAGGCACGCCTTCTTCACACTGGGAGACTGCAACCCCGCCATGGCCTTTTCAATATCACCCTCACTGCGGCTCCGGAACGCCTCTTCAATCCGAGAATGGGCGTGCTTATCGTTGAGAGCAACGACAATGGGAAAAGACAGCTCGCCATTTCGCAGATCCTCCGCCACGCCACCCTTGTTGATGGCGTACTCGTCGGAATATATGTTCTTGCAATCATTTTGCAGCTGCGCGTACCAACTACGTCGCAAGGTCGATTAGCTTAGTCAACAGAGAGCAAAAAAAAAAAAGTACATACCCGAATCGAGTGAATAGATTATCTAGTTGATCACCACCGTCGTTTAGCAGTCTTCCAAGAAGCACAAACAGTGTCCCCGTCTTTAGTTGCGCCATATTCCTGTACATGGGGACTCTGTCCTCCTCCGCGAACCCAAAAGCTTTGAGTCCATCTCTACGCCAGACCAGGGAGAGATCTTGCCCCTCGAGCATCTGCTCCAGGGCCTTGAGCAGTTCCACGCCGAGAACGGGCCGTTCCCGCATGGCCCTGTTGATCGTCTTTGTGAGCACAAAGTACGCCCTGTTGGCCGTTTCACACGACCCGTAGAGCATGTGCGCCGTAGTCTGGTTCTTGCGCTTGGTGCTGTCGTCGCAAATGTCGTCCACCAGGATGAGGCAAAAGTGCACGGCGTCCATAATGTCCAGGATGAGGGCGTACTTGTCAGGGTCGTCATTCTTCAATGTCGGACTAAACGCCTTGACAAAGGGCGCGAAGTGATGACGGCCGTAGATGCCAAGGAGATATTCGTACGGACAGCTGGGAAGCTTGTCGACGGCTTCCCTGTTGCTCTCGAGGGAGCGACTCTTGTCATAGCCGTAGTGTTTGACGGTTTGAGAGGCGGCAGTCTTGTCGTGGCATCTGTTTCGGACGAGGTATCCGAGGGCGAATGCGGACAAGACGGCGGCCATTTCGCCGGCCATGAAGCGACCTGTGAGCCAAGCCATTGTTGCAGTTGAGAGTGGTATGTGTCGAGTTGATGGGGAAGCAGTGGACAAAGTGAGAGTCTGAATGTTGGGGTCTACTGGACCTTGGGAGTAAGTACTCTAGGGCAGCTGTGTAGATGGTGAAATCAAGTAGATGAAGGTGAGTGGGTAATGACGATTGCTTTCCAAACGGGAACCTGTCGAGTTTTAATAACTGATGAAAAGGCCAAGAGTTTTGTGGCTTTCGGGACCTGATGGTCAGGTTCCAAGGGGTATAAAAAGAATGCTTGCGTCCGTCATTTCTTCTCGGTATACCAACTTTTTTCTTCACCTTTTTTCCTAGTTTCCTCGGACACTGCGGCTTCTGACGACATGGACGGATTCAACAACGCGCAGGCCCCATCCGGCTATCAGGAGATTCAATGGCTAGCTGACACCTTTGTTGCATTGATGGGTCTCGGCTGGGTCGTCAACTACGCCTTGATGATCTGGCACTCCGCAAAGGGAGAAACGTACAGCATGGCTCTTCTTCCGCTCTGCAACAACATTGGCTGGGAACTCGTGTATACGCTTGTATACCCGTCGTCCAACAAGGTCGAGCTGGCCGTCTTCGCCGCGGGTGTGACTCTAAACGTCTTCATCATGGCAGCGGCAGCCCGATCGGCAAGGATCGAGTGGAGTCACTCTCCCCTGGTTGCGGACCATGCAGCCTTGATTCTCCTTTTGGGAACCTTGGTGTGCTTCACTGGTCATGTTGCATTGGCCCTGGAAATAGGGCCTGCGCTGGCGTACTCATGGGGAGCCGTCATATGCCAACTGGCCTTGAGCATCGGCGGCATGTGCCAGTTGCTGCAGAGAAACAGCACACGAGGAACATCCTGGACGTTATGGTATGTTAAGGGTCTTGCAGATTTTGTGTAACTGTGATGGCATGGAACTGACATCACCCCAGGCTCAGCAGATTTCTTGGCTCGTGTTGCACTGTCGGCTTTGCCTTTCTTCGCTGGAAGTACTGGCCGGAGGTATATGGCTGGCTCGGCAGCCCGCTCATCCTCTGGAGTCTCGCCACTTTCGTGCTCGCCGACTCAACCTATGGAGTTTGTCTGTATCTGGTGTCCCGGGCCGAGCAAAAGACTGCGAAGCTGGACTGATCTCGTGAAAGGGGGCGACAGAAACACAATCCACCCTGTCGGCCGCCGGCAATGGTGGTCCATGGGCCATCGCAAATGTTATCTTGACGCCCCGTATTTGATGCATGTTGCATGATGTGGATATCTTGCCTAGAATAGAAAATAAACCAATTGCTTGGCAAATCGGATCTCGCTGGTTGCACTGCATGGCCATATGCAAACTAACAAAGAGCCATGCCCTTTGATACGCCTTGTGACTAATGAAAGCGAACGGAGATGCCGTCATAGTTGCCACATGTAACCTGTCACTATTTTTTGGCGTGCTCGGATGCGCCGTATACAACCTCAATCTTGAGAGAATACCGAGCTCATTTCGCACTGATAAGGCCTGGCTGAACTTGGTCGATGAGCTTGGAGCTGACCATATTCTTCTTATCAAATACACCCTCGCCCATATCTTTGCAAAAGACAAACCATGTTCTGTGCTCCTTTACTCACTAGACTTGACACTTTTGAAAGACTTGATTGTCTCTGCTCGAATACAACGATGGCCACCACCACCACCACCACCACAGTGGAAACGCTTCGTCCTCAGGATATGACATGTTGGTCGCAAGCCACGCGTCCGCACTCCAATGGAAACACTACATACCTAGAAGACAAGGTTAGTATGACGTAAACTCGATAAGAAAACAGAGTTGCTCACCCAAAACCAGGTTCTGACTGCACCTCTGGATTATTTGCGAGAGTCGCCCGGAAAAGATATCCGTGGCGGCTTAACGAATGCATTCAACCAGTTCCTTTGCGTCCCAGAGGAAAAGGTCACTGTGATAAAACGCATCATTGATCTACTCCACAACGCCTCTCTGCTGTAAGTTTACGTCGTCGTCATTCAGCTTTACCAAAGCGATACTGACAAGTTGTAGCATTGACGATATTCAGGACTCGTCCAAACTACGACGGGGCGTCCCCGTTGCCCACAGCATCTTTGGCATTGCGCAGACCATAAACTCCGCCAACCTAGCCTACTTCATGGCCCAAAAAGAGCTGGACCAGCTCACGAACCCGCGCGCATATGCCATCTTCACCGAGGAGCTAGTCAACCTACACCGCGGCCAAGGCATGGAGCTTCACTGGAGAGACTCGCTACACTGCCCAACCGAGCAAGAGTACATGCGCATGATTCAAAACAAAACCGGGGGCCTGTTCCGCCTCGCGATCCGGCTGATGCAGGGCGAAAGCTCCAGCAAACGCGACTTCGTCCCGCTGGTAGAGACTCTCGGAGCCCTGTTTCAGATTCGGGACGACTATCAAAACTTGCAAAGTGACGTGTATTCAAAGAATAAGGGCTACTGCGAAGACATATCCGAAGGCAAATTCTCGTATCCCATTATTCATAGTATTCGATCGCGACCGGGGGATCTGCGACTGCTGAATATTTTGAAGCAGCGCAGTGAGGATCCCATGGTGAAGGAGTACGCGGTTGAATATATAGAGTCTACGGGAAGCTTTGTATACTCGCGGCAGAAGATTGAGTCTTTGCTTCAGCAGGCCAAGGCGCAGTTGGCGGATCTTGAAAATGGTACAAACCGTGGAGAGAAGATGCGAGCAATTCTCAAGATGTTGGCGTTGAAGTAATCCATACAAACAGCCTAGTCAATTTACATTCTATTTTATTTTTTTCAAAACTTGCCAAAGCATGCAGGGTAGTTAAAATAGAGACGAGGCGCTGCTCTCATTACTAAATCTGGGCGAACTCTTGCCGCGTTTGGCCATTTCGACATCATGGTAAAATTACTAGTTCATTTCCTACCTCGCATGTAAGAGAAGTAGCAGAGTAGACTGGGAAGTTCGGATCTTTTTTTCATTTCGTCATGTCTGCGAGAGCTTTGGTGACGTATCACTTATAACGTTTCATTACTTGCCACGACAGATTGAGCTTATCAATACCCTTCATTGATAAGAAAGAACATACGATTTTTCTGCAGCGCCCATAGAAGCTGCAGGAGCTCTCATACGTTATCGCCAAGTCTCAATACGCAATCATGCTCATGATAGGGGCGAGGACAAGATAACCATGCGGAATTTGCCTCATGTCACCCAACCACTTGATATTCTCACCCACGTCTGGGAGTCCACTTCTCTGCGATGGTATCCAACAATGTCACAATTTTGACGCCTGTACCGAGGTCGCAAACCGAGTGTTGTTGTTTTTGGCCATTGAACTACCTATTCCGGTTGATTCTCATGATACCATCTATTGATACGCTGCTCCCTATCCTTCG